GATAGATAGATAGATAGATAGATAGATAGATAGATAGATAGATAGATAGATGATAGATAGATAGATATAGATAGATAGATGATAGATAGATAGATGATGATAGATGATAGATAGATAGATAGATAGATAGATAGATAGATAGATAGATAGATAGATAGATAGATAGATAGATAGATGATAGATGATATACAGGAATAGATAAAGGGAGGATAGGTGTGGATGGGTCAAGCAACCTGAGAGGCAGGGATGAGGGAGCATGAGAGTAGAAAAAACAAGAAACAGGCCTTGGGAATCCCCTAGAGGGCTGACTTGGACTCTACTTTTACCGCCAACACTTGCTCCAATCATCAAAGTATTTATCTAGGAAAAGTAATCACTTGTCTTAGAAACAAGAAGATTCTTCAGGCCCACTAGCTTATCAAACCTACATGTGGACAGAGCCCTTTAACACATTGTATGCGGGAAACGTATTTATACGTTTTACGTTGACTGGTAGTAGAGCGCGTGACAAAAACTACCCGCAAACAATGTGTTAAAAACAAAACATAACAGAAAAACATTGGTAACTGTACTTATACCTTCACAAAAGCAAAATGTCTCTTCCACCTCTCCTCTCTTATGTCTCCACTGCCCTCTTTTTTGCTTTTAATCAGGCCAATCAAATCAGCTGAGATGAAATCTAAATATTTGAGCAGCCTATGTGTTAGAGAAGTTACAGGGAACAATACATAAATGTGGTAGTAGCTTGGACATCAGAAGTACATGCTCTGAATTTTAAAAAATTAATTTCCCTGGGAAGAATCAGAGCCATTTCTGGAAGAAGTCACATTTCTCCAGGGGCTGAGAGTCATCTGAAGCTTTTCATATATGGAGAAGGAAGCATGAGAGTGTTTGGGTATCAACCCCTGTACCTCCCCTCAAGTATCCCGAGAATTGGCTACCTGCAAATTGCTACTTGATTTATGAAAAACAAACTAATAGTGACTCAATGAATGAGTCACTGTGCTCTCTAAGCACTTCGCTACAAACTTTCTTTTTTGTCATCTATGTTACCCCCTTAATCTCCATAATAACTGTTATAAGGTGGCATTTTTACCTGCATTTCATAGAGGAGGAAACTGAGGCTCAGTAACAGAGGCAAGATTGGAACACAGATTCTGTGAACTCTGAAGCTCATCCTCTCATCCTAGTCTGGTATACACATTACAGGTTGAGGTACAGACATTTAATGTTGACTCTGTACAGCAATACAGTTTTCTCCTTTGTTTTCTGTTAGACAAGTGTGGATGCTCCGTGTCTGGGGGTCTTGGCAGCAGAACTGTCTCTTCTGTGTTCCAACACCGATCAAACCATCACACAGCAAGCGGCCTTTGGAATGTATCACCTCCTTTGTATTGCAAAGTGTCAGAATGGTAAGAAAGAGTCACCACCTTTTCTAAGGGTTACTAAGAACCCAATAAAAATAGAAAGCAGAAAAACAAGAGAACAGCAATGAAGCCAAAAGTAGATCCTTTAAGAACATCAGGGGGGGAATTATAAGACAGACATTACCAATATCAGGAATGAGAGAGATGATGTCACCAGAAATGTTATGGGCATTAAAAGAATAATGAGAGATATTATGAACAACTTTATGCTGGTAAATTTGACAACTTAGATACATTCATTGAAAACACAACCTACCAAAGCTCACTCAAGAAGAAATTAATAACCTGAATGGCCTGTATCTATTAAAGAAAATGAATTTGTAGTTAAAAGCCTTCTTACACAGAAAACTCCAGCAAACATTCAAGGAAGAAATTATACTAATTCTATAAAATTTTGTGCAGAAACATGAGGGTGAGGGAATACTTACCAACTCATTCTATGAGGCTGGTATTATTCTGATATCAAAACCACATAAAGACAATAAAAGGAAAATAAAAACAAAAAACTACAGATTTTTTAACAAGTTTAGCAAATCAAATACTACAATACATAAAAAGAATGATATAATCTATGGAATTTATCTCAGGAGTGAAACACCAACTTAACATATGAAAATCGACTAATGCAATGCACTATATTAACAGATGAAAAAATATAATTATATGACTATTTCAGTAGATACAGAAAAAGCATTTGGCAAAATTCAACATCCACTTCTGATTTTAAAAGATAATAATAATAACCTCTCAGAAAACTAGGAATAAAAAGAAAGCTCTACCTGCTAAAGAACATCAGGGGGGGAATTACATCTATGAAAAAGCTACAGCTAAATCATACTTAATAGTGAAATACCAAGTGATTTTCCCAAAAGATCAGGAAAAAGACAAGGATGTGCACTGTCATTACTTCTATTCAACACTGTACTAAATAGAGTCCAGAAATAGATCCACATATATACAGTCAAATGAATTTTGACCAAATTTCAAAGGCAATTCAGTGGCGAAAGGATAAATTTCAATAAATGGTGTCTAAAAAAAGGTTATTTCATATGGTGATGAAGGGAGACTAGACTTCGGGGGGCAGTGAGCACGAAATGCAATATACAAATGATGTATTATAGAATTGTACACTTGAAACTTACATAATGTTATTAACCAATGTAACCCCAATAAATTTAATTTTAAAAATTGGTTATTTATAGGCAAAAAAAAGAACTTTGATCTATATCTCAAACAGGTACAAAAGCTAATTCAAAATGGATCATAGGACTAAATGTAAAACCTAAAACTATGTAACTAGAAGAAGCCTTTGTACCTTGGATTAGGCAAAGATTTCTCAAATACATCACCAAAAGCATCACTTGTAAATGAAAATAAAATGATAAGCTGTATTTCCACTCCTTGAAAGACACTGTTAAGAGAACAGGTAAGCCACGGACTGAGAGAAAATATTTTCAAGTTATATATCTGACAAAAGACTTATACCCAGAATTTTAAAAGAACACTCAAAACCCAATAAGAAAACAGACAGCCAAATTAAAAAAATAATAGTAGATTTGGGGAGAGATCCAAGATGGCAGCAGACTGAGTGGAAGCTACACTGACACTCTCCCAGGACCAGTCTGGATTTACAACTAAAACATAGAAAAACCATCCTAAAAGCCAACTGAAAACTAGCTGGAGAGCACCCTCATAACCAAGGAGGAAGAGTGGAGACCTCACAGAGACGGGTAGGAAGTGCAGACGTGAGAGGGCTGGCTGGGTTCTCACAGGCAGAGGGATATCTCAGCTGTGGGGGTTCCCACTGAGGACTCTGGGGCCTAAACCCCAGGCTGGGCTTCCCAGCCAAGAGTACCAGAACTGAGAAAGGTGCCCACATAGCATCTGCCTGTGAAAAGCAGCCGGATTTCTGTCTGCCAGGGAGAGGCAGGTGGAACTGCAGGCACCCTCTTAAAGAGCCAACGCACAGTTTCCTGTGCAGCCGCTCAGCTCGGGCTCTGGCGGAGGAGGAATGAAGTGAACTGAAGCTGTGTAGGGAGAGTCTGGGGTTGTGGGCTCTGGAGAATGAGATCAGGGGACTCCCCTCTGGATCCCTGTGCAGAGTCATTCCCCCTGACTGTGGGGTCATGTTTCTCAGGCAGAAAAATTTTCAGCTTTTGCCTGAGGGGGGAAGCAATTGCCCACCCTGCTGGAAAGCCTCTCACCCTGCCCAGAGGAGTTTCTACAGCCTCAGGCTTGTTAAGAAACAGATAACAACCAGCTGCCCCACCCTGTGGAGCTTCTACAGCCTGAGGCTCATTAAAAGAATCAGATTAATCAGTCTGCAGGCTGACCTGCAGAGGCACACCTCACGGTGCTTTGAGTCTTTGCCTGATCTGCTTGGGACCAGGGCCTTAGAAAAGTGACTTTGGTGTGCATCTTGGTCCTATCCAAATGCACCCAGCCCCAGCAGTGGAGACCTCAAGCCTAGAGTTGTTGATAGCCCCTAACAGGGTACTCAGGGTCAGTCACAAACTGCATCTGACATTGGCCTGTACCAGAGACCCTCCAAAAAGACTAAGAGTCCTAGAAGATCTACCTAACACTTAAAAACAAACTCAAAAAAGTAGCCAAAATGGGGAGACCAAAAAACAAGCCCCAAATGAAAGAACAAGAGACATCTCCAGAAAAAGAGCCAAATGAAATGGAGATAAGCAATCTCTCAGTCATAGAGTTCAGAATACTGATTGTAAGGATGCTCAAAAGCATGAAAAAAGATATGGAGGGACAACCCACAGGGAGCTCTGGGACAGCATGAAACGTTAACAATATTCGTATTATAGGAGTACGAGAGAAGGTAGAAAGTAAGCAGGGGATAGAGAACCTGTTTGATGAAATAATGGCAGAAAACTTCCTTAACCTGGTCAAGGAAAAAGTCATAAGTTCAGGAGGCACAGAGTCCCAAGAAAAAAGAATCCAAAGAGGCCCACATCCAGACACATCATAATTAAAATGCCAAGAATCCAAGACAAAGAGAGAATCTTAAAGGAAGCTAGGGAAAAGCAATCTGTTACCTGCAAAGGAGACCCCATAAGGCTGTCATCTGACTTCTCATCAGAAACTCTACAGGCCAGAAGGGAATGGCATGAAGTATTCAAGGTAATGCAAAACAAGGATCTAAAACCAAGACTACTCTATCCAGCAAGATTATCAATCAAGCTGGATGGTGAAATAAAGAGCCTCCCAGACAAAACGAGACTGAAAAACTTTATCATTACAAAACCAGCATTACAGGAAATGTTAAAGGAACTGCTATAATTAGAAGTAGAAATAAAGAGAATGAAAAACATAGGCATAAAGAAACAAAATGGCAGTAGATAAGTATCTTTCAATAATATCCATAAATGTAAATGGATTAAGTNGTAAGTATCTTTCTATAATAACCTTAAATGTAAATGGATTAAATGGCCCAATAAAAAGATATAGGGTGGCTGAATGGATAAGAAAACATGACCCAAATATATGCTGCAACAAGAGACCCACCTCAGAACAAAAGACTCACACAGGATGAGAGTGAAGGGATGGAAAAAATTTTTTCCAGGCAAATGGAAATGAAAAAAAAGCTGGGGTAGCAATACTCATATCAGACAAAACAGACTTCAAAATGAAGACCATAACGAGAGACAAGAAAGGTCATTACATAACACTAACGGGATCAATCCAACAAGAGGATAAAACCCTGATAAACACACATGCACCCAATATAGGAGCACCTAAATTTATAAAGAAACTTTTAGAGGACTTTAAGGGAGAGATCAACAGCATATTCATACTAGGGGACTTTAATACCCCACTGACTTCACTGGATAGATCTTCCAGACAAAAAATCAACAAGGAAACAATGACCCTAAATGTCACATTAGATCAGATGGATTCAATTGACATTTATAAAACATTCTACCCCAAAGCTGCAGAATATACATTCTTCTCAAGTGCACACAGGAAGAATGCATTCTCAAAGACAGACCACATGTTAGGACACAAAACAAGTCTCTACAAGTTCAAGAAGACTGAAATCATATCACGCATCTTCTCGGACCACAGTGGCATGAAATTAGAAATGAATTACACTAAAAACACTAAAAAACATTTAAACACATGGAGGTTTAAAAGCATGTTTTTAAACAATGAATGGGTTACCAAGGAGATCAAGAAATAAATAAAAAACTTCCTGGAAACAAATGAACACACAACTCCAAATCTGTGGAACACAATGAAAGCAGTCCTGAGAGGGAAGTTCATAGCACTAAAAGCCTACCTCAAAAAACAAGAAAAACTTCGAATAGACTCTCTAACCCTACAACTTAAAAACTTAGAAAGAGAACAACAAGAAAAGCCCAGAGTAAGTAGAAGGAAAGAAATAATAAAGATCAGACCAGAAATAAATGACATAGAGACTAAAAAAAACAATACAAAAGATCAATGAAACCAAGAACTGGTTCTTTGAAAAGATAAACAAGATTGATGAACCTTTAGCCAGACTCATCAAGAAACAAAGAGAGAGGACCCAAGTAAACAAAATCAGAACCGAAAGAGGTAAAGTAACAACTGACACTACAGAAATACAAAGGATTGTGAGAAAATACTATGAACAACTATATGCCACCAAGCTGATCAACCTGGATGAAATGGATAAATTCCTAGAAAAATACTACCTTCCAAAACTCAATCAGGAAGAGTCAGAAAATCTAAATAGGCTGATAACTGCTGATGAAGTCAAAGCAGTAATCAAAGGGGTCCCAGCACACAAAAGCCCTGGCCCAGATGGCTTCACAGGGGAGTTTTATCAACGATTCAAAGAAGAATTAACACCTATTCTCCTCAAACTATTTCAGAAAAATCCAAGAGGAACACTTCCAAACTCTTTTTACAAGGCTAGCATTAGCCTAATTCCAAAACCAGATAAAGACATTACAAAGAAAGAGAATTATAGGCCAATATCCCTGATGAACATAGATGCTAAAATCCTCAACAAAATATTAGCAAATCGGATACAACAATATATTAAAAAGATCATACACCGTGACCAAGTGGGATTTATTCCAGGGATGCAAGGCTGGTACAATATTCTCAAGTCAATAAACATGATACATCACATAAACAAACTGAAAGGCAAAAATCACATGACCATATCAATAGATGCAGGAAAAGCACTCAATAAAATCCAACACCCATTTTTGATAAAAACTCTCAGCAGAGTGGGAACAGAGCGATCATACCTCAACATAATAAAGGCCACATATGACAAACCTACAGCCAACATCATACTCAATGGTCAAAAACTAAAACCATTTCCCCTAAGAACAGGAACAAGACAGGGGTGTCCACTTTCACCACTCTTATTCAACATAGTACGGAAGTCCTAGCCACAGCGATCAGACAAAAAGAAAACATAAAAGGCATCCAAATTGGAAAGGAGGAAACAAAACTGTCCTTATTTGCAGGTGACATGTTACTGTACATAGAGAATCCTAAAGACTCCATCAAAAAACTACTAGATTTAATACATGAATTCAGCAAGGTAGCAGGATACAAAAATTAACACCCAGAAATCGATGGCATTTTTATATACCAATAATGAACTCTCAGAAAGAGAAACTAAACTAACAATCCCATTTACCATTGCAACTAAAAAAATAAGATACCTAGGAATAAATTTAACCAAAGATGTAAAAGACCTTTACTCAGAAAACTACAAGTCTTTGAAAAAGGAAATAGAGGAAGATATAAACAAATGGGAAAATATACTATGTTCATGGATTGGAAGAATCAACATCATTAAAATGTCCATACTACCCAAAGCAATCTATAAATTCAGTGCAATCCCTATTAAAATACCAACAGCATATTTCACAGATATAGAACAAATACTTCAAAAATTTATATGGAACCAAAAAACACCCCAAAAAGCCATAGCAATCTTGAGAATGAAGAATAAAGTTGGAGGGATAACAATACCAGATATCAAGTTACACTGCAAAGCCACTGTAATCAAAACGCCCTGGTACTGGCACAAGAACAGACATACAGATCAGTGGAACAGAACAGAGAACCCAGAAATTGACTCATGTCATTATGGTCAATTAATATTTAATAAAGGAGGCAAGAACGTACAATGGAGTAAAGACAGTCTTTTCAATAAATGGTGTTGGGAAAACTGGACAGGTACATGCAAAAGATGAAACTAGGCCACCAACTTACACCATACACAAAAGTAAATTCAAAATGGATAAAAGACTTAAATGTAAGACATGAAACCATAAAAATCCTAGAGGAAAACATAGGCAGCAAAATCTCAGACATCTCTCGTAGCAATATGTTTGTTGATACATCTCCTCGGGCAAGAGAAACTAAGGAGAAAATAAAGAAATGGGGCTGCATCAAAATAAAAAGCTTCTGCATAGCAAAAGAAACCATCAACAAAACGAAAAGAGAGCCCACTGTATGGAAGAACATATTTGCCAATGACACATCTGATACAGGGTTAATATCCAAAATATATAAGGAACTCATAAAACTTAACAAAAGGAAGACAAATAATCCAATTAAAAAATGGGAAAAGGAACTAAATAGACACTTCTCCAAAGAGGACATACGGATGGCTAAGAGACATATGAAAAAATTTTCAACATTGCTAATCATCAGAGAGATGCAAATTAAAACCACAATGAGGTATCACTTCACACCTGTCAGAATGGCTACCATCAACAAATCAACGAACTACAAGTGCTGGCAAGGGTATGGAGAAAAGGGAACCCTAGTACACTGCTGGTGGGAATGCAGACTGGTGCAGCCACTATGGAAAGCAGTATGGCATTTCCTCAAAAGATTAAAAATGGAGCTGCCATTTGACCCAGTGATCCCACTTCTAGGAATATATNTATACCCTAAGGAACCCAAAACACCAATCACAAAAACCTTATGCACCCCTATGTTCATAGCAGCACAATTTACAATAGCTAAGATCTGGAAACAGCCCAAGTGCCCATCAGNGCCCAAGTGCCCATCAGTAGATGGGTGGATTAAAAAGCTGTGGCACATTTACACTATGGAATACTATGCAGCTGTAAAGAAGAAGGATCTTTTTATCCTTTGGCACAGCATAGTAGAACTAGAAAGTATTATGCTAAGTGAAATAAGCCAGTCAGAGAAAGACAAGTACCACTTGATCCCACTTATACGTGGAATAAACAAAATAAACTGATGAACAAAGTGGATCCAGAGGCATAGAAGCATGGAACAGACTGAGGGATCTCAGAGGGAAGGTGGGGAGGGGGGAAGGGGAGGGGAGAGATTAATCAAAGAACCTATATGCTTATAAGCATAACCCATGGACACAGACTTTGGTATGGGGAAAGCCTGGGGGTAGGATGGATGCGGGGTGGAGAGGATCAAGGGGGATAAAAAGGGGACATCTATAATATTCTCAACAATAAAGATAAAGAAACTTAAAAAAAATTTTTTTTATAATATTATTAAATACTAAAATATGACATCTAAAAAAAATAAAAATAGATTTGAATAGTCATTTCACCAAGGAAGCACATCAAACCATGTTCAATATATAGTCAAAAAGAAATGTAAATTAAAACTGCCATAAGATACCATTACACACCCATTAGAATGTCTAAAATTGAAAAGACTGACCAGACCATGCATCACTAAAGATGTGAGGAACTGGAACTCTCCTACATTGGTAGAGGAAATGATACAACTTTGGAAAATCATTTGGCAGTATCCTGAAAAGTTAAACACACACCTACCATATGATCCAGTCATTCCACAATTTAGTATTTACCTAAGAGAAATTAAAACAAATATTTGTAAAAAGACTTGCACACAAATGTGGATAGCACCTTTATTTGTAACAGCCAAAAGCTGGAAACGACCCAAATGCCCATCAATCAACAGGCGAGCAGATAAACAGATGATGGTATATACATACGAAGGAATGGCATTCAGTGAAGAAGAATGAACTATTGATACATGCAACAGCATGGATGAGTCACATAATTTTCTGGAGTGAAAGATGCCAAACAACAAAAGAATACATGCTAGATGACTCCACTTACATAAAATTAGAACAGAAAGCAGATCAACAATTGCCTTTGGATCAAGGGGTGGGTCCAGGCAGCAGGGGTGAGGGGTTACAAAAAAGGGCACAAGGAAACTTTTGATGACTATGTTCAGTTTTGCTTGACTGTGCTAATGTTTTCATCAATATACACATACATAAAAACTTACCAAACTGTAGACTTTAAATATGTTGTATGTCAATTATATCTCTATAAAGCTGTTGACAAACGAAATCATTTAAAAACCCACCTGCTGTGGAACTAAAGACACCTGCACTGAGGCTTTGGTTGAGCACTCTGGCTTTCCTGCAACACCGCCCACCCCTCCCCCATCCCCACAGAATGCCTCCAAGTCTGCTCTTCCACTAACAGACTACCCAGTAGCTTTTCAAGTGCCCGGTACAATGCATTTCATGGCTAAATGTATGGCCATCTGGTCAACCTATTAACATTATGTTCTTCATTCACATTTCACAGAGGCCTCTCAAACAGTTTATGAACTCTGGGTCAGTGCAGTCACAATAGTTACGTGACCAAACTATCACCAGGGTGGTCAATAGTTAGAAAACTTCAGAGCTCCAGAATTGGGCAAAAAGAGGAAATTGTAAAGAGCAATGCCAATGAAGGAACCGGTGATCAAATGAAATTTTTAAAAAAACCTAAACTATTTTCTTTAACACAGGGAATACTGTAGAAAATAAAGCTTCAAAGTTTGATAGATCTACAAGTCACTGTTTGCTGCCTCCGTCCTTAGATATAGAATTCCTACCCAACATCTTGCAAGGAGACCAAAGTAAAATCGCTCAGGTAACTTAGCCCCTGCTTCATCATATGGCTTTTGTTTCATCTGTATTATTAGTTTTGGCGACAACTTATTTCAAAAAAATTTGTATTTTAATAATTTTTTCATTTTATATATATGGAATATACACAAGAAATAAATATATGCACACACAAAAGGAGAAAATGTGGCTCATTCATCTTTCTTAACTGAGAAATGTATAATCAAGTAATTTTGTTCACATTTCAGGGCCCATGGTCCATGGATATTCCTCTAACTTTAAAAAGGGATTGTTTGAATTGTCTTTTTGTACCTCAGTCATGGACATATGGGCCTTTTTTCTCTTCCTGCTTCTTGATCCTTCTCTGGGGAAGAGAAAAGTCCAACACCCCTTCCTACCCCAGCCTCTTCTGCATCTCCTACTAATCACACTTGTCTTCTGATCTGATATTTCCAAAGCTGAAGAAGTTCACAATAATTTCTAATTGTAAATAGCTGAGTTGGAGTAGAATCAATATTTTACATTTCCTCTTAATTGGAATGCCATGGTTTTCCATTTCTCCCTGGTCTGCCCTCAGAGCTGACCCACCCAGATGAAAATGTTTTAATTGCTTTAAAAATCAGGAAAAATAAATAAGTATAATTTAGCTTGAATTATAGTCATCTTAATACCAACACAGTTGTAAATTATAATTTTTAACATTTTGTAATGGAGAAAGAGGCCCACAATAGCAAAAGTGCCTAGAGCCCACGAAAATCATGTGGCCCTGCCTAGTCCTGAAGCTTCCCGTGATGTCTGAGGTTAGGTTGATGTAGGTAAGGCCTGAGGTGATGGCTCTCTCTTTTGGTTTCAGAGTGTAGGACAAATCTTAGTGCCATCTCTGATGACTGACTTTGTGTGGAGTCTCTTTATGAGACTCAGTGCACCTGATCAAGTAATGGCAAAGGAGGCAGCCACCCTGCTGAAATTGATCCTGGAATTCCACTCCCGCAAGGTCACCATGGTAAGATGCCTGACAATGAGCAGGGGAGCCCAGAGCTTACCCTCTAAAGTGCTCCTGTTGCCTTTGTTATATATCTACTTCTTTGCATATATATTCCTTGCCACTGCATCATTATGACACTAATTAAATGAGGCTTTTTTTTCTGAAATATTTCAAGCATACTTTTAGAAAAGTTTAGAAAATAATGTAACGAACATTTCACCCACCAATCATACGAAATCACAGTATTTTCCCATATTTGCTTCAAATTTTTAAAAGAAACACATTAATAACAATGAAATAGTACAGCCATAATTCAAATCACCATTAAGGAAAGTTTTCAAGGCCCCTTTTCTTGCTGCAGGGCTGGCTAGCTACCTAGCCCCATTGTTATTTCGTTCCATTATTTTTATTATCTTCTTAAAATATTTGAATTATATATGTTTTTTACATTGAGCTTATATGTCTTATATAATAAAGTCATCTATACTCCCAAAATAAACTTCTTTAAAAAAAAAAAAGAGTATTTTCCCACTATCAATAAATGCACAGGTAGGTTTATTCCTCATCTAAATACATACTTTGCATTGTGTGGTCATGCACATAAATATGTGTCCCACTAGTATTTATTTGTGTGTTAATTGCTGCCTTGGTTATTCTGAGGACTGAATTCTTAAGCTCAAGAAATGCCTTGGTTTAGCGGGGACTAGGTCCCAGGAGACTCCTGTTAACCTTTGAAATGACTTTTCCAGGTGTCTAAGATAGTGAGTGCTATTTATCAGCAATTGTGTAACAATTCTACTCACATTATGAAGCAAGCTATGCTGCGAGTCATCACCTTATTGACACGTACTTCACCGAAGAAGGTCATCTTTCAGCTTATGGACTACCCAGTCCCAGCAGACAAGTAAGGTCCCCTCACCCCTTCCACACGGTTTGCTCACAGTATCCAAAGTCAGACACACCTGGACATGTCAGGTCTGGTTTCTTTGTTTCTGAAGGAGAATATCTACTTTTGCATCACATAGGATGACCATAAGGCTTAAATAAGATCACATATGTCATTATACACTTGTACAACAACTGGCACACAGCAGACCATCAAGAAACGATGATCGTTGGCAGTTATTATTTAGCTGAAGCTTTAAACTGTGTTCTGCCTATCCCCCAGGAACAAACTTCTCCTCAAAGTGATAATGAGTTTTTCTCCACACAGGATAAAGTTCATGGTGTTCTTTTCTCACTCATGAAAGATAGGCGTAAGATATTTCCACCCACCAGTAAAATAATGAAATACTGAAACTTCCAAGATATAACTGAGAGCCCTCTACCCCTTAACTGTTTACCTGAAATTCACGATCCAGAAATTCATGATCAAAGAAATATTTAAGAAGAAAATAATGCTAATGTGAGCCTATGGGGCCATGAATCTAACAGATGCATTAGAAGAGATGAGTAAGTTACATCACTCCATTTCCATAATTTGTACATGGGAAAGGAAGGTATTACTTCCATACTAGTAATAGTGTAGGAAGCAGGAAGTGATATTATGAAATGGATTCAGGCTTTGGAAACAAAGGAATCTGAATTCTATCCCAGCTGTGCAAGTTGCATAAACTCCCTGATCCTCAATTTCTCCTTTTGTAAAATGGAAAAAATAATTCTTTTTACATATAAAACTGTTACATGGGTTCAATGAGTTCATCTCTGTGAAAGGGCACTGAAATCAACAAAATGCTAAACCAATTCTATGACTGACTTTCTTTTTCCAACAAAAAGCTTGCATTTATTTAGGAAGCTTATTAAACTCACAGAGAAAATTTCTGAAAACTAAAAATATTCATAAGATTCAGTGTTTTTCACTCAGGGACCAAGCACCCAGTGTGTGTAAAATATTACCAGCCTTATAGCATTGTGGTGAGGAGAGAGAATTCCGGGCCCACGGATATAACAGCTGCCAGTGAATCCAGTACAAACAATAGGTATTGAGGAGGTACAAAGAAAGCAAGATAATTCGAGTTCGGTGAACTCGATTAAAATAGTCTCCAGCAGGTCTGTGCAATAGTAGGTAAGGTAGAAAAGCTGTGGATTAGGAGGTAAGCTAAATCAGAAAAACAGAAGGAAGGCCTGATCAGCTAGAGGTATGACCAAGAGATAAGGAAATTAGACGAGCATGTGAGATTTTGTGGCCATGTGGTTTTAAGCCTGGTTCTAAGAGGCAGGGGCAGTTGAGGAATGGGTTCTAGAAAACTGGATAAGTCCATATTCCAGGGGACTAGGCCCTCATATAGGAACCTAAATGCAAAGAGACTAAGCAATAGGATTCATAACCCAGCACGGATTGACAAGATACCAAGAACACACCAGCAGAGAGGTACGTAGCAGTTTTTAAAATGAGCAGTAGTAATAATAACCTTGAAGAATGGCTGGGTATGTAGGGAAAGGGGCTAGGGGCCTGAAGGTTGAGAAGCCAGGGTTCTAGTCACATCCATGTCACTTATTAAATGTGTGACATTTGACAAAATGGCTCACTCCTCTGAGCCATTAATTTAATTCTTTAACTTTACATTTAATTTTCTAATATTTTCATTTATATAGTTTTTTATTTAGTTGGTTTTTACATAGTTTATCTTTTCAATGGGTATATTTATTTATATATTGGTTTGTATTTCCATCCTAGTTTTTAAATACTTTATTATCCCTGGACAAAGTAGGTCACAAGGTGGGAGGAAGAAAGTATGGGGGACAGAAAACTGATCAGTTCTTCACATTGAGCTGAACAGATATTTAAACAGGAAATGAACTTGCAGGCCTTGCAGACAGTATATATTTTTTAAATTTTATTATTGACAGTATTTTTATTACTGAAATTCTTCCTCTGTTTTCAAAGACAAGAGACTCCAGAGGATCATTTGAAAATGGGAATATTAGCTTGTTCTGGATTGGTCTGCAGTGTCTTTTTTGCTAAAAAAATATGTAAAACCAAAACTCTTCTCCTGATTCATGTCCCAGAATTAAGTAGGAAATGAACCACTTATGATTCTCATTATTCAGTGGGTTGTATTGGCAGCACTTTGATACTGATGTGGCAGGCAGCCGGGTCTGAGTCCAGCGTGGCCCCCTACGTACTGAAGACAATCTTGTTGATACTGAAAGGAAAGCCTGGGGAGATGCAGGACAGTCTCACGGACAAAAAACGTTCCTCTCTCGACGCTACTAATATGATGCCCGTGGCGGTAAATAAGATGACGAGTGTTTCCTTTTCCTGGTGTTGTGAAAATTACTATTTGCCCTTAGGCTCAGTCATACTTCCTTTCATAGTCTCACTCTCATCATCCATTCATTCATCCAACACATTTTGATTGAGTGCCTACTATGTGCCACACTCCCTGTTCATGAGGCTTATGTTCTGGTGAGACGCACAGATGATGAACCAAAACAATGTGTCATATGTCAAATGATAGGGAGCATAGAAGAGATACAAAGTGTTGTGGTGAAAAGAAAGTGATGGGGAGGGTTTAGATAAGTTGGTCAGGGTGGGCCTCTCTGCTGAGGTGACATCTAATCAGAGAAATGAATGAGGTGAGGGAGTGATCCTTGCAGGTATCTGGGCAACGGAGATGTAGACAGAGAAAAAGGCAAAAGCCCTGTGGTGATGGGAGCTCACCTGGTACATCACTGAAGGCAAGGAGAACAAACAGGACAGACTTGAGCAAGGGTGACAGTGTAGGAGATGGTATCAGAGAGGTAGCCACCAGTTGATCATACACACTTCTATAGGCATGTGAAGGAAGACTTACTCTCATTTGTGTCCATCATTATACATCTCCCAAGGACCAAAATCCCCATTCCTGGGAGTAAATTTGAGTCTTACAGAGATATAGAAAATAATGGATAGTGCTCCACAAACGTGAGATTGAGATGTGTTTCTCTGATGTGGTCAGTCAGTGGGCCACCTCCTTTACTATCTCACTGCCCTGGATTGTTTAAGCACAGGGACGACCTGGTTATTGGAAGAACTAGTCTTCATGGCCACAGATGAAGGGGGCCTTGGGATGTATGCCCTCCTTAGGGACCAGCTTGCTTCTTGCTGGTTTGGCAGCAAGGTGGGGATTGCCCGCAGTACTTTGGGAGCTCATTGCCATGGAATGCTTGGCACATTCCTGGCTCAAAATGGGACTTAGCAGCTGTTATTGGATGAAGGTACACATGCATGCTTCAGGCTTCCTTCAAGGAGGTGGGGGTGGGGGTTACCGAATCCCTCTCCCCGACCCTCACTAAGGCTGCCTGAGTTCAGAGGGAGATAGTGACATCCTTGACTCTTTCTTCTTCCCTGGCAGGCATCCCAGGCCCTGTGCACGTTGCTGCCCACTGGTTCTTACAAGAAAGCAGTGGCCCAGTTCTTCCCTCAGCTCTTGATGGCTCTCATGTTTCAAATCTTCTACAGCAGCAACATGGAACTGCAGACAGAGGACAATTTCTTGTGAGCTGGCCAGTGGTCACTGCAGACTGAATGAGAGCTAGCTTCCTGCTATCAGTGTTTCTACCCCCTTGGGTTCACATGGAGTCTTTATAATCCCATAAGCAGTGTGCTCATTTATTACATTTTCTCTCTGCTGAAGGGGAAAATGCCTTTAGCAAAGTAACTACCCCGAGTACCTAGAATCAGCCAGGACCCTCACTGAGTGTGGGTGCAGTGTATAGACAACCACTTCCACAGAACATGGCTTATTCCTGCCACAATGGGAGGCCACCTCAGGGTGGGGCGGGGAGAGCACAGGGAGCATGAGACCTGAAACCAGACACGTTCTTGCTCCACCCTGTGCTCTCTGATAGGACTCTCTCAAGGCAGTCGTACATGTAAGATGATATGCGCAGTGTGCTCTGTGGTGTGTGGTCTTGTGATAGCAGCCACTCATGCTGTCCATGTCAGGTGAAATTCAACTCTTCCCTTTGGCCCAAAAGAGTACAATTAGCTCTACTGCTCTCTGGGAAAATCTGGACCCAGCTGTCTGCTATTTGCCCTCATCTGGTGTGGACTTCTAGGCCAGGGGGACTCTAAAATCACAGTCAGTACCATTCAGATATTTAATTTACTCTGTCTTTCAAGCATACATACCAGGTACATGAGAATATGCACTATATATTCAAAGTATCCAAGGAACAAAATCAACAGACGCCTTGAGCAAGTTATCACATCATTTAACGTTTTTGGATAATAAGCTGTTAAGAAGTGAATAAATGAATAAGCTGCTCCAGGGTCAACCCCAGGTTGTACATGCTACAGTTTCAGTGTAAGCCCTCACCCTATGTACCATTCATCAGGAGAGAGGAAGAACATTTAGCGGTCTCCTTCCTTTCAAATACCCCCTTTCCCCAAACCAGGATCCTGCCCAGGATGGAATGAAAAGGCAGGTCCCATGTATTTAGTTATGTGAAGGCCACAGTCAGGTGATGACTCTGCTCTCCTCTGGGGCCCTAGCTATGCCCAGGATGCCCTGAGAGTTCTGCTGAATTGCTCTGGACTACAGCAGGTGGATATTACTCTAAAGAAAAGGAATTTCTGGAACCAGGTCTCCCGGGTGCTGTTTTACCTCCATGGGACCTACCTCGTTGCCAAGTAAGAATGGGCTCTGTCTATGCAGGGTTCTGGGTCTCTGTCCCACCTTCTGTCTTTCTTCAGTGAAGCCATGTGAGAACACAATCAGTACCCACTCCAACTGCCAAATCTCTCCTAATGATCTGAATTGCCATGCGATTCCTACTTCTTCATTTATTTGGAGAGGCTTATACTTTGGGATAGTTTTCCCTTTCCTGCCCTTGTACCTGGTGAGAGAGCTCTTATTTGCACATGGATTTCAGGAACACATCTAGTTTTGAAAAATGTAGTTCATCTGCACCCTGCATATGGCCCGCAGTTAAGAGTCACTCTGTTCTTAGTAATTTTGGATCTTCATACTCAAAGTGTGGTCCACAGAGCAGCAGCCACAGCAACACCTGGCAGTTAAAAATTCAGAATCCCATGGTCCACGCCAGACCTAATGAATCAGAATCTGCACTTTAGCAAGATTCCCGGGGTGATCTGTGTGCACGTTAACATCCCAGAAGCATTGAATTAGAGCCACTGCCTGGAGCCTTCAAATGGAATGTGTCACCTCCTCTTTCCCAATCCTGCCACAACCCATCTGGTCCCCACTAGTGTGTCGGGCACCTGTGAGCCTTGCCAGTGCCCAGGTGTGTCATGGAGATTAGCTTAGTGAGTCAGAGTTCATCACCTCTTCTCCAAAGTAACCCAGGAGAGCACCAACTCTCTCCTTCCTTATATCATTTAAAGGAAGGACTTGGTCTATATCCATAAAGGTGGCCTGCATGGCCATTTCCCCTGGACTAGGGAGTATTCAAGAATACCTTGCTTGTTATCTGGATGGTACAAAATATAGGGATGATAATTCTCTGTTTACTACCATTAGCACTTACTGATGCAGAAAGTGTTCTGATCTTTGCTAACTCTGCCTACTTCTCCTTTATAGAACTCTGGGTGAATATAACTTCCCGCAGTTTCCAGAGACCCTGCAGTATCTCTACAAGCTCTCGGTGGAAGGTCCGAGAAGGTCCGAGGACAGTGTGATCACAGTCATTTTCCTCACTGAAGTGAGTTTTATTAGGAGTCTATGAACAACTGAGTTCTCCCTTTTCTTACCCAAACTTACCCAACACTCTGTCCTTTTATCTCCTTCTCTGAATATTTATTTTACCTCAAGTTAAGACAATGACAGATATCTGAGATTGAGGGGGTAAGGTAAGGACAGATCTGGATTATGGGATGGTTGAACCCTCAGCCTGCTCTAGGAGTTGGCTTTTGTCATTTCCTGGAGGGTATAGATTTGCACAAATACTAATTATTTTTGAAATTCCTTTAAAATATATCTGCATGCTTGTTAAAGTATATTGAGGGATAACTGAGTTTACTAAAGTTAGCAGGTAACATCTGGGATCTAAATGACACTTCAGGCTATGGGGGGGAGGAGAATGGGCCAAATAAGTGAGTGAAATGAAGACCCAGATTACTCTGTATATGAATATTACACCATAACTTATAATGCCATACTAGAGTCAAGCAAATTGAGGAAATCCTTTTGGATCTAACTTTAGTTTTTGCTAAATAATTAACTATCTAACCAAGCATCATTTAATTAATAAGCATTAAACTCACTACTCACTGGTTATGCCTTCATTAATGTTATTATTAATTTCATATGCCCAAGCACAAGCACACATATTAGGGTTTGTCTCAGGTTACTCTGCTAGGTTCCATTTATTTTCATTCTTGTAGAATCATCCCACTGTTGAATTATGGCCATTTGCAAATAAATTTTAATATCTAGCAAAGCAACTTCTCCTCAACTCTTCTTTTCAAAATTTCTTTTGTCGTTCCTATATATTTGTTCCTCCAGTTAAATTTTAAAATAACTTTGCTAGGTTTCAAGGAAAAAAAACTTTTGCTGAAAATACTGTAATTATATTAATGCTATGAGCTTCTTAGGAATACTTGATATTTTAATACTTTCATTTTTCTTCAATATTTTGTAATTTTCATATAAATTTTACATATTAATTTTGGAATTATTAAGTAGCTTATGTTATTTTAAATTGTTAGTGTGAATGGGGGCCCTTTCATTCAGATTTTCAAGCTCATTGTTACTGAATGTTCAGGAAAATTAAACTATTATCTTGAATTCAGCTGCTCTCCTGTGCTTTTACAGTAACTCCATTAATATTTTAGTTGATTCTCTTGGGCTTTCTAGTTATATAATACTAATGTATGAAAAATGAGGATAGTATTGTTACCTGTTTAAATCATTATTTTTATTTTCCTGAATCATGTGTTTTCACCTTGGCTTTTCTTTAAAGCTCCATTTTGTGAATAATCTGATCTCTCCTTTGTCTGCTTACCTATTATTACCTTAGTGTTTCTTTCCATGAATTGTATGATTCTCTCTCTCTTTCCCTCTCACACACAAATTTGTGAAGGATATCAAGTAACTTATGAACATAGTGCTTTGACTATACATCCTCAGTGAGATATATTTTAAGGACAAAAATATTTTTAAAAATAATTCGCTTTTACTCAGGAGGTTTATTGATATTATATGTTGACATCATAAGTTTAAAACTATGGTATGCATTATAATGCAGAAAGCAAATAAGTACTTATATTAGTGCTATTAGGCACCAAGGTTTTCCAGGTAAGAGAAAGATGAGGCAAACATAAAACTGTAAAAAATTAATGTAAACTTTGTTATATTACATTTGAATTGAATGTATCAACATTGTCAAAATGAACTTGCAACCAAAAGAAAAAAAATGTATTTCCTAGCTCAAGTAAAGGCCCAGAAGACATAATATGCCAATAACAATGAGTACACTCTAGTACCCACTTCTAATGGTGTCTCAGTACCATTACTCACTAAAAAGAACCTTGTCTCCTTAAAGAAATGAGTAATTTCAGGGGCAAGGAAAATATAAGATGAGCCTGGGACATCTAATTTTTCTATAAGCAAAGAAGTGCTCAAAAGTAGATGGGTCATGTCAAAAGAACATAAGAGTCAACATGTAGGGGCTCCTACTGGCCAAATTTGAGCATAAAAAGAAATAATAACTGCAAATAACTGTAATATGTTGGAAAATTTTTAATGCATAAATCCTTGGTAATACTCAAAATGAAAAGCTGAAAAAGAGAAAGAGAAAGAGAGAGAGAGAGAGAGGTGTCAGCCAGTAAATGTAGAAAAAAAATGCTAGACATAAAAAAATCACCCTTTGTAAGTCCCAATGTAATAAATGAAGAAAAAATCATTAATAATTTTAAAATCACTAAGTGAAAGGTTATTGGAAAACACAGTATTCACATGGTACCAAATTATCACCCCACTGATCAGTTACTGATTATAAAAGGAAAGTGTGCCTTTCCTGGTGAGTGATGTGGTGATGTGAGCACAGGAATATATGTGGGAATACGTATAAGTATTTGGAGTTTGAGTGTGACTTGTGTTCCAGTTTTATTGAAAATGTCTTGATTTTTATGCCTGAAGCAGAAATTGCGTGTTGGCCTTTACTCTGCTTAGGAACGTATTAGCTGTTCTCTTTCAGCTTCTGAATAAATTCTTCAAGGACCCATTCCCAGAAGAATTTCTGGGTCTCTTCAAGAACTGGGTCAATGATTCCAATCCTGCAGTTAGCAAACTGAGCCTACAGAAAATCTCCAGCATGGCGTCAGTAATCAACGAGGTATGTGTGTGTCTGGCTTGTGTCTGACGGCACCACCCAGATCACAGTCTGAGACTTGATATTGCTCAATATCCTTACTGATGTTTTATCACTAAGGGATCTGGATTGACTGGAAGGAATGTGTTAAGTCAATTTAATGGCTTTATCACCTAATTTATATTTTTCCCAGAAAACCATTCATTGCACTCTAAATTTATCAGCATCACCCTACATGAACACCCTTTCTTACAGTCTGAACCACATACGTTAAGGTAATTTCCCCTCCAACATACACATTTGCATGCATGTTAATTACCATCTCCCAGGACTCCCTCAAGCTTTTCTTTCCACTGCTAACACTTTCCTCCTTCACCCATACATAGTCACATTTTACTTTTTCAATGATCAGTTCTAGTCAAATTCCACTGACTACTCTGATCTCTAACAGCCTCCTCTCTCTCTGAGCCACACCAGCTTTGTGCACTTTCTTATATAACATTTTATATCTGTGCTTCTCCACATATAATTCTAAACCAGCAGCATCAGCATGTCCTAGAAACTTATAAGAAATGCAACTTTTCAGGCCCTGCTTCGGACCTAAGGAATCAGAAATACTGGTGGTGGGGCCCACCCATCTGTGTTTTCAAAAGTCCTCCAGGTGATTCTAATACAGGTTAAACTTGAGAACCACTGTCTTATACCGGTTCCTGCTGAGTCATGTGACTATATCTTACCTTCCAGGAGGACTGAACCTACATCTACCCCTATGTGTTGTAATTCCCTCAGAAATTTCAAAGTACTTTGCACAATGCTGAGAGTGTAGCTGTTCTAAAAATCACTGTTGACCCAATATGTTTAATAACAACTCCTTGTTTATCTATTAAACATAATCTCTGAAAACTTCAAACCAGTCAGAGGGCACCCATTTTGCATTTAGAGTGAAATGAGCCATGGTCTTTTTTGCTTTAAATAAATCATACAAGTAGATGTACATTATTTTAGTGAACAGAAAGTTAGTTACTCCCAGTGTTATTAATACTTGAAGGGAGATTTGGTGTCAAGGTTATTTAGGAGAGTGAAAGAGAATTACTGGATTGAGGTTTCACATACTATCTATTGGTAAAGACACAACTTTCCTGCCAGACACAAGTGGCCATTGGCTATTATTTTGGCAAAGAGTATTTATTTCTTTTACTTTTTTTTCCAGCCTTTCTTTTTCTCCTTTGGTGTCTCCTATTCATGTTCTTCCTTGCCTTAAATTCTATTTGTCTCTGATCTGCAACTGACTCCCATGACTTGGCTCAGGATCTCCAACTGGCTCTCATGTCCAAACAGGTCATCATTACCCAATTTAGAGGGCATGCTGCCAGTGGTATGTTGGTAAATGTTTAACTCTCAGCTCAATGGAAATAAGACTAATTTCCCTGGTGTTAAGAGTCCCACCATGGATGACTTCAAGCTATTAACAGAACATCATTAAACATGGAGTTGGGAAGAGATGCACCATAGCACATCATACAGATATAATACATGTAAATAACCTCAAGGGCTTTTAGGAGTAAAGTGTAGCAAAATAAGTGATGTTTTTGAGTATTTACTGCTATTGTTTTTATTTGTTTCTAAATGTATGAAATTTAATTTTTCAGTAGTGACTTCTAGCTAATGAGCAGCTTACAAAATTGTTTACCATTTACTCTTGTGAGCCAGCTCCAGCACACCACTGCCTGATGCCCAAATGCAGAGGTGTACATACCAAATGCTAGCTCAAGTTTCTGTCTCCTTCCAAAATCCCCCCATTTTCTTCCTTTTATATGTAGATAAAAGATGTCAGCGGCTTACTAATATCCATCATGGATGCCTTCTCTTCCAAAGACAAGACTGTTGTAATTCGGGCCTTGTTTACCCTTCGAAGACTTTTGAACAAACTTGACAGGGTGACCTACTCATCTTTGTGTACCAGAATTGCTTCCAGCTACTGCCCTCTGATGGATCATGTGAGTTAAACAGTTAGATGTGTGAGATCATTAGGTTTTATAGTTCAGCTGAAGCCCCAGCTGAGGAAATGATATTATATCCCAGAAAGAGTCAACAGAAGACAGTCATTTTGTGCAGAGCCACCATTTCTTTTTGAGATAACAATATTAGTTAAGTACTGCCTTTATTTAACTACACTATGAGAACCTGGAGAAGCCTACCCATAAGAAAAGAGAATCAAAGAATAGCCTCTGTCCTTGGATGAAAGAGAAATTGTAGTTTAGTGGGTATATATTGGTTAACCCTGGATCTGGACTTCCTGGGTTCAAATCCTGCCCTGTCTCTTACTAGCTGTGAAATCTTGAGCAGGTGATTCAGTCTCTTAGTGTTTCATTCTCCCACCAGTAAAAGAGAGTGTTGCAGCTGTTTTGTGGTGATCAGAGATGATGTATAATGCCCCAAATGGCTTTCTTATCATCATATAAACCTTATAGTTAAAAAGTATCTCATCAGAAAGTTGTATATTTTGAAAATCCTCATTTTGTATACTAAATGTGTTCCAGACAAGTTGGATGGTAGTAATTTATTTTAATAAGCAAGAACACTTTTGGTATGCCATGGGGAATCTATTTATTTATTCATTTATCTACTTATTTATTTATTTTTATCTTTATTATTGAAGGGAATCTATTTTTAAAGATTTTTGGAATGGGTAGTTTATGAACCAGAGAATTTTATTTCATAGTAAATGATCTTGCCAAAATTTAGTTCTTAATTATTCAGATTTCACTGACGAGCACATTATTAAACTATAGAAAGAAGGAAGTGTATAAATATATATACAAACATATATGTCACACTGTTTAAAGAAAGAAGCCCTAGAAATATCCTCAAATGCGCCTTTTCTGTGCACAAATTGCAGAATGACGCAGGCATTCGGAGCATGGCCATCCGGCACTTTGGTGAACTGCTCAGGGACATGAACCAGTACACATGGATGTTGAGTGCCGTGGTTCTAGAAGCCCTGGTGCCTCTGATCCTGTTTCTGGAGGATACAGACAAAAGAGTCGTTACGGTAAGTCCTGAGGCCTTGTGTTCCTTAGTTTTGCAGAGACGAGCCGTGTACCATGTAACACTAGACACAGAGATGCTCATCAACTGTTTTCTGCTTTGCAGTCATGTAAACATACACTGGAAATCTGCGCCTCAGCATTAAAATGGCCAGCATTGCATCTGCTCGTGGAAAATTACAATTTTGAGCTGGTCGTGCTCAATATCTGCAACAATATTGTAAGTGGCCCTTTGGTGTTTCCTACCATACGTTATAGAAAGAACATGAAAGGACCTCCAAAAATGATGGAAAGGTGCTGGGGATGAGGGTTAGTCTTGGAGAAGGAAGGCGAAGTTAAAAAATAATACGAAATGGGTGATAACAGCTAGGGCTTGAGACCAGAGAAAACTAACATTTTCCACTTCCTCTTCCTCAACATTGATCCTCTCTAGCTAGCCTCCTTCCTCCAACCCACCTCCAACTCATCTTGGATGAGTATAAAGGTCAGATCACCAAAAGAAAAGCTGGAAATATCTGGTCACTGCCTAATGAGCTGGTCCTCTTAACACCGGCATGAACACAGTGACACATGGAAGCATGCTAAGCAAAGGTGGAAACACAAGGTTAGGCTGGGAAATCATAATCAACTGAATAAGACCCGCAAACAGGAAAGCAAGTTCATATATTGGAATCTCAAGTTTTTAACTGGACCTTATTTGGTGTAAGCAACCAGGTTCTTTTCTCTGGAAGCCTCTCTGAAAAGGAACAAATGCACTTTTTCAACAACTAAGTGTTTTTTCCCCCTTTTTATTCTCAGTTTATTTCTCATGGGAGCTACATTACTGATTTGATATCTGACTGCTTAGGATTCCTGAGGAGCTCCCGAGTATATCTGAGGAGAGCATCTATTATTTTAATAGGTAAATCAAATTCAATTCCTAGTTTGTCTTAAAAGGTATAGCTGGAAGTCTTCTTTGAAAAAAATATTATAAATCTTTTTTGTTTATGATGGACTAGACCCATCATGTGATATCTATGATGAATAGAGGTTACTATATGTGATGAGAACAAAGTTCTGTTTTATACTACACAGTGAGAGCATAGCTATGTGATTAAATTATTATACAAAGTGCACTAAGGAAGGATGATTTCAAAGTTTAACAAGATGGCATGCCACTGCTCATTATTCCCCTTCACTACTTAAAAATCGCTACCCAAGGAATAAGAATGATATCTAAAAATATAAACACCATCTTCAACAAAACTTGGGCATCTGTAACCACAACTCTAACAGATGAGGAAGAGCTATCAAGTCCATAAAGTAAAAAAAAAAAGGGGGGGGGGCAGTGCAGGAAGATTCTAAGAGAAGATAACTAAAGTTTTCAATCTTGACCAAACCTGACCAAACAGTTTTTTCCCACTAGATTCTCATCATGAACATCCAAATTGACAATCCTTTATCTGGAATGACAGGAAGTGAGTTCCCAAGTTGGTAATGGGATTTTCACTTGACCCTGCTTGGCCCCAAGGAGTAGCAGGCACAGCAAGGAATCAGGAAATGCAGTGTCAAGTTGTTCTTATAGAAAGAAGACCATCACTTAGAGTAGAAGACAAACTGAGGTATGACTAGCACTAGAGCTCCTGATCTGTGCTGGTCAGAGAAGAAGAAAGGAACACACACTCACTCTCTCTCTCACACACACACACACACACACACACACACAGAAAACCCGGTGTCACAAGAACTTTATTTCAAACCAGAAAGAATTCCTTCTACTCTGAATTCTACCCTGGTACTTTCCACAAACCATCCTCTGTATATAACTATTGCAAGATACAAAAATAAGTAATTTTTTTTAAAAAAGGAAATGGCATTATCTCTCTACAGAGTTATTTCCAGGGGGGAAAGGAGAGAAAAGAAAGAATAAAAACAAAGCAGATGAAAATCATGATAAACATCTCCATGAATCTTAAACTTTTTGAAATAAAGATCTAAAGTACAGATACAAGCACACAGTCGATATACGATGGGGTAGTGGGAGCACTGAAAAGTAAGCTTTCAAAGTATAGGGGGCATGAGTAAGAAAAAATATATAACTATCACAAAAGAAAACTGCATTGCAACCAGCAGAAGAGAAAATATATATTGTTGATAACCCAGTAAGGGACAGGAGTACAGGGTTGAGAAACACTAGCGAAATGAAATGAAAACCAGCAAGAAACAGTTTGAAAAATTAAGGAGCAATGATAGGTATGAAAGATCAATCAGAGATGCAAATAGGCATAAAGAAAGAAAAGAAATAATGAGAACAGAAAAAAGTAATCAAAGATATAATTTTAAGAAATAAAAAAAGACGATTAAATATACTGAGATAGTAAATAATTTTTTAATAAATATTCTATACATAATGCAACTTTTAGATGTTTCCCAATAAAGTTGTGAAACTTTAGAGTTAAAGAATTCTCTGAGAATTTAGGCAAAAAAGTCACTTTTAAGTTAAAAAATAAATAAATCTGGCATTTGATTTCTCCACTTCAGTACTTAACCTCTAGAATATAATAGAACACCTACAAAATCCTAAGTGGAAAAAAATTGTGACTGAAAAATTATACCCAACTATGAAGATAACAGGAAAACATTTTCAAAAACACAAGAACTAGGGATAAAGCACTGCCATGAATCCTTCTTGAGGAAATCACTAAAGCAGGGGTGGGGAACCTTTTTTTGCCAAGGGCCATTTGGATATTTATAAAACATCATTTGCAGGCCATACAAAATTATCAACTTAAAAACTAGCTATGTAAAAAGCTCCTGGATTTATTGAATTTCAAGTCCCGCCTGCAGTTGCCTTGGCAGGGCCAGACCAAATGTAAATAAAAATGCCAACAGATAATTTCACGGATCTTGACAAGTAGATTCTAAATGTACACAGAAAAGCGAAAGGCTGAGATACTCCTGAAGAAAAAATGCGGGCTACTAGTCCCACCACATATAAAGATTTATTATAAAGTTACAGAATTGTAGACAGTCTGTTACATACAGGACAGACCTGTGAAACAGAATGGAAAGCCTAGAAACAGCTCCACACGTACACAGTGACCCTGCAGAGCAGTAGGAAAAGGAATTTTTTTCTCATAATGGTGCTGTATCAAGTACATGAGTACATAAAAAATATCTTCACCTGCACCGTATGCCATGTAATTCCGGTTGGATCTACAACCCAAAAGTGTGAAAGGTAAAACCATAAAGCTTCAGAAGTAAATATAGGAGAATATCATTATGATATTCCTGAGGCATGCAAAGATTTCCTATTAGGACCCCAAAAATTCATTAACCATAAATAGAAAAGACAATAAATTGGGCTACATTAAAATTAAAGATGTATGTTCATTTAAAAAAATGTATAAATGTAAAAGTTTTGCCACAGGGTATGAGAAGATATCTGTAAGGTGTGTAACAATGAAAAAGATTAACATCCAGAATTTTTTTTAAATGCCTACAAATAAATAAGATGAAGATCGGCAACTATACATAAAAAACAGAAAAGAGGCTGACTTGAACGAGCATGTCACAAAAGAAATATCCAAATGGCCAATAAATATACAAAACTCTTACGAATCATCACAAAAATAAGTGAGTTAAAATCACAATGTGTTACTACCACCAAACCCACGAGAATGACTAAAAGGAAAAATGCTAACAGGTATTAGAGAGGGTGTGGAACAATGGAAATGTTCATACACTAATGCAGGGTAAAAATGCTTTGCACTGTTCGGCAGTAACAACTGAAGGTGAACATAAAGAATATCCATTAGTCAGGAAATCCACTCCCAGCTAGATACCAAACATCAATGCATACAAATGCATACTAAAATCCATATACAAGAATGCCCATAACAACATCATTATTTATAATAGCCCCAAATTGGAAACAACACATTGACCATCATCAACAAAATGGATAAAAAATGCTCAATTCATAGGATGAAATATCACAACTTATTTTAGGCTTGGAGTACCACGTCAGCAATTTTCAATAGCTGTGCCGCAAGAATTTTTAAAACATGTAATACCTATTTAATGGGGGCACTGACCTCTTTTTCCTTAGACTGTCAAATTTTAAAAGTGGCAACAACCCAGCCAAGCATGGCTCAGTGGTGGAGCATCAACCTAGGATCCAGGAGATCACAGTTCAATTCCCAGTCAGGGCACATGCCAGGGTTGTGGGCTCGATCCCCAGTCAGGGGCGTGCAGGAGGCAGCTGATCAATGACTCTCTCATCATTGATGTTTCTATTTGTCTCTCTCCCTCTCCCTTCCTCTCTCTGAAATCAATATAGATTTTTTTTTAAAGTGACAACAGCCAACACAACAATAGTCATCTGATGTAATCAATCAAAATTATACCTTTTTGTCAGATTGGCAAAAAATGTACATTTTTGGTGTGCTGCAGAATTTCAGTAATTAGTTTATGTGTGCCATGAGGTGAAAAAGGTTGAAAGCAGCTGGTCTATGTTACTACTCAAGTCTGTTAGTGTGGGAGAAAGCAGCCAGAGATGATATGTACACATAAGAGCCCACAGGCATGGCTATGTTTCAAGAAAATGATGGCCAACCTCTGCCATGTAGCAATGGAAATAAATGAACTATTGCCCCATTAGAGAACATGGATGAATCTCAGATAATGCTGAGCAAGAGAAGACAGGCCCGAAAGAATATATTCCAAGGGATAGAGTGGCAGACTGGGGAAGAGCATGAGGATGGCTTCTGGGATGCTAGTCCTGTTCCACTGAGTGACCTAGGTGGTAGCTAGAAGTATTCACTTTGCGGTCATTCATTGACTGGTATAATTAGGATGTGTGCATGTTTATCCGCATACATACTTTTCAATAAAAATTTTTATTAAATTATAAAATAGTAAGTATGTGAGAGCACTAAAAGAGTAAGGATAATCTAAAGATGCTTTGCTTTGAAGAAGGCAAAGAAGGTAGCTAGATAACATCAGAGAATGTATTTTCATAATGTATTTTGGGGTTTTATTTTGTGTATAGGGTATTTGGCAACATTGGGTAGCCATTTACTCCTCAGAGATGACATTGAAGTTTTGCTTGAGGGTAAGTGTTGAAGGTATAATGAAATCTTTATGCATAGGTCTAAATAAATTCATTATTTGTGATTATAGAACATGAGTTCTATAATGGTGCCAGGGATGGGAGGAGGGTGGTGGTTAGGGGGGAATCAATGAAAGAAATGAGTTAAGGGGCATCCTTTTTTCATTTCTCCCTCCCCCCCTTTCTCTCTCTCTCTCTGAGACTTATCACCCTAGAGCCCTTAGGAACAGAGAGTTGAAAACTGATTCACTCATTCATCCAACATATATTTTTTCCAGCTCTATTCTAGCTGCTGGGGATACAGCAGCAAACAACACCAAGTCCCTGCCCTCAGAGAACTGAAGTTTTAAGAGATAGCAATGTACACCTGCACCATTAAGATGGACTTAAAGAAGGGGATTGTTTATTCTGTCAAAATGTTGGGATCTTTGGTGTCTCTCCGTCAGCCTCTACTTCCCCACCATGATCAGAATTACAAACAGATAAGGTAGAACAATTTCAGATTTATAGCAAAATTAAGTGGAGCATATAGAAATTTCCCATATACCTCCTGCCTCCACACACCAGCCATCCCATTAGCAACACCCCCCACCACATGGTACATTTGTTACAATTGATGAGCCTACATTGACATGTCATTATCTTCTTTCCTTTTTCATTCATTCATGTATTCACTCATTTATTCAGTACATATTTCTTGACTGCCTGGTAAATTCTCTGTGTCTCTCCAAACCTTTCTTCTTTTTCTGCTCCTCCTACCCCTTTTCCTCCTCTCTTTTTTCTAAATCTATCCCTTTCCCCTCCCCCCCCCATTTCTTTTTAAGAAAGAACAAACTTCCCACAAGCCCAGGGTCTGGAAATAATGATATTAGCATATCATTATATATATATAAAACCCCAGACATTTTTAAAGAATATAAGTTATTACATGGCTATTTTCAAAATGATCGTAACTGTTTTATAACTTTTTTCATTTATTCATATATCATAAACATCTTTCATGCCAAATATTATGGATCTACATTATGTTAATATGTGTATACTATTTCATTTTATGATATTCCCAATTTTTAAGTAGTTCCCTATTGATGAACCTTTATACTGAGTCCAACTTTTTTCATTATTATGAGCTATAATCAACTTCTTCATGAATATGTTTATGCTGTCTAGAAGAATGCTCAGCACATAATAGACACTCCATAAATGTTTAGTGAATATTTCCATTTTCCTTTTAATGATGTCTGGATAAAACTTCCTGGATGCTGCTAGTCAAAGTAATAAAAATTGGGGTGGGGGAGGAGAAGACAGAAAAGGGCTCTGAAAGGGGGTGGGACTGTTCAGAGTTAAAGTGTCTCAGACTCTGAGACAGATGCCTTGAACTAAGGGCCCTTCTGCCGTTACAGCTATCGACCGAGTGTTTCTGGATGAAGACCTTGCGGTCAGGGAGTTGGCAAGAAAAACCCACGAATTTTTTAGGAAAATATCCCATAAAATGACCTCCTCGATTATTAAACAAAGCTTCCGAAGATTGTTTAACTTCATCTACATCAAAAAAGTGAAGCCTCTTTATAATTATGTCTCTCCTGATGAAGAGACAGCAAGTATTAAGGATATGAAAGAAACTGAGACTTATGACTACGTTTTGTGAAAGAATGAGACATTCACCAGTGCCTTGGAGCCCAACCCAGAAGAGGAATGGTTTTCCTTTCCCTCTTGATAATCTGAGTCTATTTGTAGATGCTTTCCTGAAGGATATTAGGAGCCATTTTATGGTGCCTTCTTAATTGTCTTCAAATATAGAAATCTGTTGCCTCTCTAGGTTTGACAGTGATCAGAAGCCTTAATTAGTCAAAGCTACTAATAAAATTGAAAAATCATATAAGCAAAGTATTTTATGAGAAGCTCTTGAGACCTAATTCAATCAATAAGCATCTATGGAACACGTCCTAAGGGCCAGGCACTGTGCTAGGCAGTGGGGACATTTGTATAACATAGACAAGGGTCCCATCCTCAGGAAGGCCACAGTCTAGTGATACTCAGTTTGGGTCATTTCCATCCTGCTGGGATGAATGTTGCCATAAGGCACTATTCACAAAGGAGGAAATGGAACTTGCAAGGGAAGAGGGAGGGGCAGGGAAATGTATGTCAAGTAGAGACACTGAGATAAGAAGAGTTGTGAAGGAAGCTAGAGAGTTTGCTTGGATACAAGTAAGATAGGTACTAGATTTATCAGGGTGGTCACTTCATAAGTTATATAAATGTCTGATCACTGGGTTGCGCATCTGAAACTAATATTACATATACATCAACAGTAATTTAAAAAGAAAAAAATTATTTTAAAAAGAAAAAGAATGGGGAGAACTGAGACCCAAGGGGAACATCATGCTGTGCAAATGGCTTTAAACTTTTTGAAATGACACTGGATAGTCTATCACAGTGGTTTCCTATTGCACCAGGATCCAGTGTAACATGCTGTTCTGGTTTGTAAGAAAGCTGATATATAAATGTTCATCAGTGACCTTGCTTGCCTGAAGCACCCAGGCTCATTTTACCCTCCTGCACTCCTATATTCCCACCCAGCATAAACCACTTCAGCCACAGGAAACTACTCTGTGAGATGAAAGCCCCCTTTCCTCTGTCAGTTTTGGTGTTGTGGCTTTGTAATGTGGCAACTTAGAGTTCATGCACGTTCTCATTTCTCTGTGGGATCCCTCACTGGTGTGGGGCAGCTATGCCCCACCCTCCCTTGGATCCTCCATCAGCTTCTCTGACTTTGGGGCCAGGTGGGTTAGCTCTGCTGACAAGGGACACAGGTGTCTCCTGCTTAACGCCCACATCATCAACATCATAGATGCTGGAGGCAGTGAGAGACTGACACAGTACCAAGCTTGTGGGTTCCACCTTGCCTTTGTTCTCCCACTTGATACCACCCTCCTTTCCCATCCCATCCCAACTACCTGCCCTGTGGACTTCAAGCTCCAGCACCAGGTGTGAAGACAGCAGCTTTGCAGAGACCACTTAACTCACTCCCACAATTGCTTATGATAAAAATCCCTGGTTCTACTCTAATTGAACCCCGACAGGGAGGTCGAAGATGCATTTTCCAGGCCCCTTTGGTCAAGTAGGTGGGTGTGGCTCCTGTGGTTTTTTTCCCCTTTAACACTTGTAACTGTGTTCCAAACTAATTGTATGCTTTACAGTTTGCTCCCTGAATAAGCCAATCTCCATGTCTATATTTATTGTTATCTTCCTGCTTGGAATCCAAGCACCTTTGAAACCCACCTTAAATCTTAAACTCTTTCCTCCTTTGTCAGATTTTGTACTTGTTTCCCTGGAGCAGGCTGAGATCTGTCTGGTTATGAGTCTAATGGCCACAAAGGGTAGGTTGGGATAGATCTTGAGAAGAACAGCCATCCTTTTGCAAAGCAAGAGCCCCCAGGTGAGGTCATTACAGAATCTTAGCACCCTCAGACATGGAAGGTGGGCTGCCTTCACTGTAAGAGGGCCTCAGAGTGGCTCAGGGATTCAAGATTTTCAGCTTCATTGAAAGGCTTGATGAGGCTGGGGGTGCAGCTTCTGTTATAATTCTAAAACCTGCAAAAGTAAAATTTGTTCTGATTTTCAGCAAGGTTAGCTCTGAAGCTACAGGAAATAAGAGGTTCTTTTAGTTCCACTGCAGGAGCTCTCTGGCTCTCTGACCATGAATTGTGCTGAGAGTCTAAAGACCTGAGCTGGTCCTTTTCATTCTTAAGGGCTTCAGAGTGCTCAGAAGCTGCCATCCCTCCCATTGTCATGCATTGCAGTCATTATTGTTGTCACACAGGTAAGTGCCCCAGCACTGGGTCCCCTAAGGCCCTTGCTTCAGTAGGTACCTCCTCACAATAAAACATAGGTTATAATGTGGTTAATATGTCATGGTTTGCATCCTGATTCACTACTGTCACTATGTTCAGCACTATGTTCAAGTCCAAGGACATGACCAAGCCTCAAATCTCATTTTTTAGTGTCATTTCCGTGGACTGTTTCTGGAGCCAACTTCTATATCAGTCAGTGTCCACTCAGGAACTAGAAACCTCCCTAGTTATTTTAACATAGAAAATATAACATTAAAAATTGTTGGCGAGATATCAAAGACTCTAAAAGGCAAGAAGAGAATGCAGAATATCAGAACTAGTAACTGCAGAAGGAGCTACCACCTTGAGAGCTGAAGAGGCAAAGGAAAGAAACTGGGGTTATTGAACCTGAGAAGCTTAGAGAGACTGAGCAGAGCTGGGACCTCACCTCTGAGGATGGAGAAATTGGGCCTAGGATGTTGGAACCACTGTAAACTAGAACCAGCTATGGCACCAGCATGGCTGCGGGGGTGAAGACATTTGTTACAGCAATGCTGGCAGGAACAGGAAGTAAACAGGAAGGAGTAGCACCTTCTTTTCTGGGCAAAGGAGAAGACGGTCTGCAGACTCCCAGTCCCAGCATCAGAAAGTAGAGCATAAAAGAACAGGTTTGAGGTGGAGAAGAAGTAATAATCAGCAGGCATTCTTAAAACTCATCTAAATGCCACTCCCTCCATAAAGGCTTTCTTAATTTTACCCCAGGATAAACGTGTGCGCTGTTTCCTTTGACTCAGTATAGGAACTTGGTTTCCTTTTGGTGTCACTTATATTTTGCCCTGTACTAGAGTTATGTCTGTACCTTCCTTAATCTCTCCCCTGCCCACTGTCACCCTCCTCCATACATGGTCACATACCTTATTTATTTCCACATCTCCTGCCACTTCTCAATACCCCGCTGTTGAATTTACTCACTGCTGAAACCCCAGTGTCTACAACTGTACCTGGCATGTAGTAGGTATATATATTTTTAAATAAATTGCTAAATGAGCTAGTGAAGGAATTTAACTGAATTGATTATCAGTCTTGGGACATCAGGCTTGGGTAACAACAGGGGTTTTTGAATATGGGAATGCCTCGGTTAAAGGGCATGCCATTTGAGGAAACAGAAGAAAATGTCTTCTTTATGGAGTGACTGACCTAATTTCAAACTCCCGAAGCTTCTCACTATCTTCCCCCCTCCTCCTCCTGACCATGCCAGAAGCAAGATGTGTGGCAAAATCCCAGACTTAATTGGATCTGAACTCTGAAAATAGTTTTGCGTAACACAAACAACACAGAGAATGTGTTTTGCAACCTGTACTAATGCCATGCCAAAAAAAATGTATTTGGCCTAGACTTGCCTGAAGAGATCAACAAAGTATGTTATATTCAAAACAAAGGAAGAATGATCTCAAGCATTTCTGTAGAAAGAGATGAAGTCCCAAATCCCCAGGTATGGAAGAGCCTACAATCCCCTGGCAGATGAATTAATCACTGTTCTGTGATTATAAGAAGACACTTAGAAAGGGGACATCGAGTTCCGTCAACATTTACTCTCGGAGCTCCTGCTGAACACCCAACTCTCCACTGAGTATTGCAGAAAATTAAAAGTATGCATGATGGTCTCTGATAGGAAATGTGAAATCTAACCATGGAGAGAATGAACATTCCTGAGACAATGAACTAACCACCCCTGCAAGTCTACAATGTACTTGATATGTTGGGACTAAGCAGCAATATGTGCAGGTGTGAGGAAGCCTTCTTGAGAAGAGTGATGTGTGTTAAGGGTCTCAAAGCATGCACAGGACTTGTACAGAAATAACAGAAGTGGAAGAGTCCCCCACCCGATTTCAGAGGCCTGTGCCAGAAGGGAGCATGATCCCAGGCAAAGATGAGAAGAAATATGGTATGTGCGGTGGGCATTAAGGTACCAGACATCCTGCAGACAGGGCACATGCAGAGAAATGGTGAGATAAGTAAAATGAGGCAGAGTTGAAGGCCAGTGGGAAGCCAGGTCAGCCCCTTAAGGAGGAGCACAACTTAGTGGGTGGTTTAAGAAGAATTTCTGGAAACATCTGAAGCCCCAGCTCCAGAAACAAGGCCCCCGAGAAAGAGAAAAGGAAGAAAGTTACTGCTACAAGCAGAAGAGCTCCTTAAAACAAATCTAGTTGAGCCTAAGTTCACTGGACAGGGCGGGGGTAAAGAGGGGCAATACCAAGATGAGGTGGTCACTAGAGAAAGGAAGGTAACCCATTCTGACCCTTCTGCCTTCTGAAATGAACAGCTTGCCCTCCTCTTGCCTACTGGGATAAGTCATTACAAGGTGATGTGCTATAATATCTTAGGGCAGGAAAGGGAAGGCTAAGTCTTCTTTGTCTCCCTCCCCCTCTCCCTGGGATACGACAGAACCAGGTAGGCAGGGGCTCAGGCAAGGGAGTGATGAAACATCTCTGATGAAAGCAGGCCTGGAGAGGTAATGGAATGAAGCCTGGGGGTCTAGAAATCACAATAAATCTATAGACGTTTAAAACAAATTGTGTGACCATCTCATGTTGTTATCTGGAAAAAGGGAACAAGGCACTGCTATTGGCACTTACTGGAATTGTGGAAGAAATCCATTTTAAGATAGTTGGGTTCAAGAAACAGAGACCAAATAAAAGACTGTCAACTCGTTGCCCTTACACCTTTTATTTTTTGTTTTACAAAATTAAATGATACATGCTTGGGGGGGAAAAAACCTAATTCTTACTATATAGGTGCTTTAACATAAACTTCA